AAATGGCTTAAACTACTAACATAACTAAGAACTAAGAACATAAATGCACGAAAACAAACATACTAAGTCGCATAAATATGCTCCTATCAAGGACCCACATCCACTTATTTATTAAATTTTATATTAATTCTTTTAGAGCTCTAGCTAGTTGTATACTCTGAACACGTTCCTAAAATTATTAATTCATTCTATTTTAAATTCATAACCCTTATTTATTTCTTAGTCTTAGCTTTTGTATCAATTAATGGCTTTCGTCACCCTCAGGAGTCGGACAACACGTGTCTATCCTGGTATTCTGGGAATATCAGGGTCGGGGCGTGTCAACACAGGTCCACGCGAGACCTTAGGTTGCTGGGTTGGGCCAGATTGGGCTTGGGCTTAGGCTTCGCCACTAGGCTTGGGTTTACACGGGCTTGGGCTTAGGGCATCTCCAACCGAGGGCTGGCCAAAAGGCTCGTTTTAGCCCTCTGGCCCTTCAAGATATTAATATTTTAATGAACAGTACATGATCATCATATTTGCCTCCATCTCCAACCGAGGGCCAAAGGGCCATAGGAAAAAAAACATAATTTAAAAAACTAAGGGCCAAAAAACGTCTCCAACCAAGGGCCAAAGAGCCATAGGGCTTGTATAATGGCTTTGGAAGTTATAGGAAAAAAATATAATTTAAAAAAAATATGAAACAAATTTTGTGAAATAGAAGTTATAGGAAAAAAAATAGAATTTAAAAAAAAATATGAAACAAATTTTGTGAAATAGAAGTTATAGGAAAAAAAAATAGAATTTAAAAAAAAATATGAAACAAATTTTGTGAAATAGAAGTTATAGGAAAAAAATAGAATTTAAAATAAAATGAAACAAATTTTGTGAAATAGAAGTTATAGGAAAAAATGAAATTAAGAAAAAATATGAAACAAATTTTGTAAAATAAAAGTTATAGGAAAAAAAAAAGAATTTAAAAAAAATATGAAAAGTAGAAGTTGTAGGAAAAAATTTGTAAATAAAAAATAATAATAAAACTGTAAAAATAAAAATAAAAATTCAAACGCAATGGCTAACTGACTTCAGCTAGCCGTTGCATTTGAGTTTTAGCTTAAGCATTCCTATTGGTTATAACCGACATGATTAATGTTTTTTTTTTGGCCAGCCCTTTAGCCTTTTCAGATTCCGTGGGGCCCTCTTTGATTCCACGAGCCCTCTGGCCTAGCCCTCGGTTGGAGACGATTTTCGGGCTATTTTCGGCCCTTTGGATCCTTCGGTTGAAGATGCCTTTATAGGCCCAGCCCAAGTTCTATATGGCCCCAAGGGCCTGGGTCCTAAAAAGGGTTTGGGGTTTCACAAGGGTTGGGCTTGAAGGCCTGGCCCAAACTAAAAAAGGTTTTTTGGGGTTTTTTATAAAAATAAAAATAAACTAAAAGAATTTTGGGTTGGGTTTAAACGGTTAACGGGCCTAAGGCTTGAGTCCTAAGCGGTCTAAATGGCCTGGGTTCATTGGGTTCAAGGGTTTCAAGGGAATTGGGCTCAAATGCAATAGCCTGAAGGCCCAAATCTGCACGGCCCTAAGGGCTTGGGTTGGTTTCTCGCCAAGGAAGGAGGCCGGAGCCTCCCATGCTCCAGTCAACGGCGACACTCGAACTTAGGCTACGGTTTAGGTACCAAAATGAAGTGCAAAGTGAGGGGAAGTGTTTAGTACCTTTGGATCGTCGTGAAATGGCCGGAGATGGTCGAGATTTAGTAGGTCTCGGGGTCGCTGGGTTTTCTCTGTGTGCCTCACCTTGCTTCATAGAGATGAGGGAGAAAAAGGGTCCAGTCGACGAAGTTAGGGGCGTTGTCGTTGTCGGGTGGTGGGTTCGACGGTGGTGTGGGTAGCTCGGGGAGGGAGAGTGCGAGAAAGAGAGAGAAAGAGAGAAAGAGAGAAAGAGTGAGCTAAAAGAGAGAGAAATGAGAGTTGACTCGGGGGAGGGGAAAAAGAGAAGAAGGGAAAAGGGATGGGGTGCGGCCATGTGGCAGATAGGGGCAGGAGGAGAATCTGGATAGGGGATTCGGATTGGGTAATAAGTGAGGGACTAAATTGTAAATTTAATAAACCTTTAGGGAAAATTGTGAAATTTACAATAATTTGGGGGTGGGGTTTAACATAACAAATTAAAATAGGTTCTCTAGAATGGAGGAAAGTTGTGAGATGTGAGCGTTTGGTCGATCACAAAGATGCAATTGGTCGACTAGACGTTCAAATCTCGCTATCCCAAATTGAAGAATCACAAATAAATAAATAAAGACTTTTTTTTCTTTCTCTTTTTGGTATTGTCCTTAACGGAAAATAAAAGGCAATAGTAAATTGAAGAAAAAGAAAAGATTTTGATGATCATAAGTTCTATACAAAAACACTTTAAAATGTTTAATAGGAAGAAAAAAAATTATGCATCTATTCATTTGTCATATTCTAATTGATTACTAATAATAAAATTCTTTTAGTTTCCTTTATTCATTTTAAACTCAACATTTTTTTCCTTAAAAGTATTGGCCTTGAAATAGGATACACCATCATGTGGCGTTCTGTGATTATAAATTTAATATAAGTAGACATGAATATTTACAATTTTATTTTATTAACTCGAAACAACACTTCAGCGCTATAGGCTTCCATATAAGTTCTTCCATTCATATAAAAAAAAGTTTTCTTGTTATGGACATTCGAGTTAATTAAGGGAGCATTTTTGCTACACGTACTAAACTATGCCAGTCAGTCATTCATAGAGTGTCATGTGTCTTATCACACAACCATAGTTAACTACTGATGTAGAGAACAACGTGATGGGAAATATAAATGATAATAGAATGAATATTATAGGTATAAAAAATTAAAAATGATAAATAGATGGGATCCACTATTTTTAGTGCGAGTAGAGATTTGAAAACTCAAAGAACTTTATTTTTAATACCAGTTTACGACATAGACAACTAGAAGAACAAAGTAACAAACTGATAAACAAAATCAAGGCACTTAAAAATGAGTTAACAACTCCAATTTCGACAAACACCGATTCCACTTCGCCGCCACCAACCACTTCTCCTCATTGAGAGAGAGAGAGAGGGGCTGGCCGACGCCAAGTTGAGGTAGTCGGGGTGGGGTGGTGGGTTAGTATTATTGTTGGGTATTTTTATTAGCACCTCACATATTTTTGAATACACCCCACGTAAAAATTTATTATTAAATGACATATACTTTTATATGAAATGACTATCTAGCCCACGAAAACCAAATTAGTTGAAGTAGAACAATCAAATTAGTTGAGCCAATAAATTTGAAGAAACAAGTTGCCAGGAGCTCGTTGAATTCAAGTGGTTTAGTAGGTGGAGCATTTCTCTCAGCCACCTGCCGGTGGCGGAGCAAACATGAAGTTTAACATTGCGAATCCCACCATTAGGTGCCAGAAGAACCTTGAGATCGACGACGACACCAAACTACGTGAATTATGGGACAAGAGGATCTCTCAAGAAGTCAATGGTGATGCATTGAGCAATGACGTTAGGAGGTATGTCAAAACCTACAGTAGAACATTCACAAAAAAAAAAAAATAAAAAAAAAATAAATTTTAGCTTTAAAAAGTAATACTTTCACAATAATTCGAATAAAAACCAATGCAGAAGTGTGTTTAGTTAAAGCCGCTGAAATGTCTGTAGAAAAGGAACGTTTGATGTTTGCTTTTAATTTGGGTCTTAAAGATATTGTTCTCGAGCTCGACGCGAAGGGAGTGGTGGTGGCTGATATTACGTCTATGGAGGATTGTCTGGGTCCAGAGGGTTGTACCATGGAGAATATACAAATGTTGGGAAAAAGTTTCAAATTTTTTTTGTCAGTGGCAGAACAGAGCTTGTTGTGGCTCATGAACTAGCTCAGTATGCAGTGCGTGCTAATGATTTTAAATCTGGGATTGAAGAGGAGCCTAGTTGGCTCTCTCCTCTTGTACTGTTTTTTGATTCCTCATGTTAATGAAAGTGATATTTTCATAAAAAAAAAAAGAAATAAAAATCTATAATCATAACTAAATGTGCAGAAAATTGATGGAAGACTAAACCCGTTAAATGTGCAGAAAACTAAATAGAGAATATAAAAAGAAATCTTAAATTTCACAAAGAGTGTGGGTGTAAGGGTAGTATTGGAAAGTATGTAAGGTGTATTAAGATAAATTTTAATCTAAAAAGTAAATGTGGGGTATGTACAAAGCAACCCTTATTGTTTTTTGTTTTATTTTAGTTAGTTTTTAATGATTTTTAAATTAAATATTTTTTTTTAAATATGATATTATCTACAAGTTTTTTGTCATATAATATTATCTATATTTAGGGGAGAATATGAGTTTAGCTTTAAAATAAACTAGTAATAATATGGTTTAAATTCACTTTTGGTGAAAATCAAACCTAAAACCTCTCAGTTTTAAATAAAGAGGGATAACATTATATCGTAGTATTAAATGATATATTTAAATTAAAATTAACTAGAGTTAGGATGGGTCACATGACAGACAAAGAGAAGCTGTGCGGCAAAAACGCTCCCGTAGGACAAACTTGGAAAGTAGCCCAATGTAATTGGGTCCCACATTCTTTAACCAATAGTTTCACGACACGTCATAAGTCTCTGGTCAAAACCCTACTGCAGAACACTATATAAACCCTTGAAGCATGTCCCCTCCGACTGTCACTCTTCTAGAAAATCAATGCCTACCCAATTTAAGACCTTTTCCTTCTCTCCGATGGTGCCGAAGAAGCTTGTGGAAGACCCGCCTCCCGCCGTGGTGGAGGACTCCGACGAAGAAACCGTCGACGAAGAGGAGGAGGAAGAAGACGACGCCGTTGAAGCCGAAGTTAGCAAGGCAAAATATGTAGATCTCAACGATGATGAATTAGAGGAGGAAGATGAGGAGGAGGAAGGAAGGCCCTCTGCGGCTGTTCCGAAGTCAAATCCCCAATCGGGCTTTGACTCCAACGACAATTCATGATCCGGATCGGAGACAGAGTCCGATAACAACTCGCCGTCAGCTTCCGACTTCACCGTCAAGCCGATCGTCTCCAAGCCCGCGAACGACGCCGTTGTTCCCAGCAAGAAGACTGCTTCGGCGAAGCCTGCGGCGGCGCCCAATTCTGGGTCGAAGCGGCCGGCCGAGACCGAGCCCAACCCGAAAAACTCCAAGAAGAAGAAGGTCGGCGTCGACGATGAGGAATTGAAAAAGGGGCAGCGGCTTTGGAGCGAGGACGATGAGATTACGATCCTGAAGGGCATTATAGAGTTCGAAAGTAAGAAGGGTGTGGCGGCGAATTCGAATGTTGCCCGATTCCTCGAGTTCATCACGAAGGATTTGCAGGTCGATTTGAGCACGGACCAATTGGTTGAGAAATTGACTGATAAGATCAGGAGGTTGAAGAAGAAGCACCAGGCTGGCGAGGATGGGGAGGACTCGGTGTTTTCCAAGCCTCATGAGCTCAAGTGCCTTGATCTGTGGAAGAAGATTTGGGGTTCTGAGGGTAACGGGATTGATAGCAATGCGAAGGGCGGCAAGAGGAAGCCTCCGAGGAAGAATAATAAGGTTAACAATGATATGGTTCTGGCCTTGCCAGTTTCAGAAGTGACTGTGAAGAAAGAGGTACAGAAGAATGTGGGTAATGGAGGAGTTAAGGCCGACCCAGATGACTTTTGGTCTAAGTATCCCTGCCTGAATGGTTCTTTGAGGACAGGTAATTGTGCACAGAGTTCGGATTTAACGAGACTTGTGATTGAGAAGATGCCTTCTTTGATTGGGAGTTCCAAGGCTAAAGAGCTGGAGGAGAGGTGGAGGGCGTTGCAGCTTATTGAAATGGATTTGTCTGTCAAGAAGCTTGATTTGATGCAGGAGCAGACTAAACTTGTATTGGATTTGATGAAGTCTTCGAAGGATTAGAGGTTAGCTTGGAGCTATTTCATGGTTTTTCCTGGATTTTATGTTAATATTGTGAGTCGAAACTTAGTGGTCTAGGTTTTCTTAGATAGAACCTGTTCTGCTTGATCCATGGAGGTTCTCAAATTTTGGTAAAGACTAATGTTTTGCTATATACATGTGTCACATGGAGATCATTTTAATATAATATTAAGTAATTTTGTTTATGGCATTGTAGCTCTATTTTTTGCAGTTTACCTTCACTGGAATTGAATTCATTTTGATTTGTTGATTGGGAAACATAATATTACAAACTTGCACGTTAACTGATAAGACTGGCCCGGTCTAGGATGATTGTTGTTTAGTTCGTTGGTTTTGCCTCCATGTAACCGGAAAAGAAACTTGCACGATGTTCAATTTGTTTCACTGGTGGTGGATATGTAGGGTTCTATACTTCTATGTAAGAATCAGGTTGGCAATTCATCCAGTTGATAAGAACACGGGGGAAGAATTTGTCCCTGTAAAAAGGGAATGCTGTCAAGTATTTCGCTTATGCATTCGAGTGATCTAGTCCCAATCTTAGATGTGGAATCATAAGAGACGCATAACATTCAATCACCTTACATAATTGTTGTCCCCTGGAGTCTCATCCCTCCAAGTTGGGTGAGTTAGGGGATCCTTATCAGTCCTCCCTGAGGTAACTCTACCATGGAGTTGTAGCCCATACCCTGCGTGTAGATGCTATGATACCAGATGATATTGAACTCGTCCCTGTAAAATTTTCTTGCTAGGGAGTTATCCATCTTGAAGAGATACCATATTGTTTGAAGAATCTTGTAACTGATAATTTAACCAATCAAATTTCAGTAAACTTCTTTATGGTTTTCAAGTTTGATGGATGAGAGAGTGAAGGTGAGAGCAAGGATAAAGCTCTCGGCTTTAGATAAAGAGAGAGTGTGTTCGAGACTTTTCAGGAAATGGGAAGGGAGGTCACGGGGAGAAGAGGGAAAGAGAGGAGAGCGGGCCGAGGAGGGGAGACAACACCAAAAGAAATGGGGCCCACCGGGCACACACATTAAGAGTAACCCAATTCAAAATATCTTTCAACTCAAAATAAAATTACGAAAATACCCTTCCGTTCCGTAAATTTCGGAACGGGTTATTACAGGAAGTGGATGCTATTTTATCAACTGTTGAGCGTTCGATCCCCACCTGATACTCTGACCTGGTTCTATGAAAAGAAGGGGTATGTTCTCTGTGCGTAGTGCCTACCACCTATGATGCACGGACACGGACACGGACACGGGGATACGATACGACACGACACGGGGATACGTCAAATTTCTAAAAATGAAGACACGATACGGTAAGGATACGGCAATTAAAAATAATATAAATAAATAAATATATCTAAATATTATAAAATAAGCATTCAAATATACTATTCAAGTTCAAATTTATTTCGATAAACTTCAAACATTTAAAAAGATAATCCACTAAACAACTAAATTAGTCTTCAAACTTGAAAAACTAAAAAGAACATCCAAACGACCTAAAAAATAAAAGGAAAGAGTCCCTCATTCTCGAACTAGCTTTTTCATTTCTGCAAAAACTTCATCAGTAACCTTATGGCAAGAGATGATCCCATTTCCAAACATTTTTAACAAATGAAACTTGACCCTAGAGTAGGATCATCTGAAAATCTTTTGACAATAGTTGCATTGAAACACAATATCTCCTCTTTCATTTTCCACTCTTTCAGGTTTTTTGACATACTTCTACAGTGTACCATGATCATTTTCAACATTCTCAACTAGATTAACATTAACATTCGCATTATTATCAGAATGATTTATTTTCCTAAATTATCAACATATAAATTGTAAGAATCAATTTAAAGTAGTCGCATAAAAAGTTACAATTCAAATTTATGAGATCAACAAAGCAACATAAAAACATATATAAATATATTATAATCTAAAATATTCTAGACTACTAACAATAAAATTATTATAATATGCAAAAACAGAAAAGCAAAAGAAGCTTTTCGTTTGGATTGAGAAAAGCAAAAGGGGACTGTAATCAGTAAAGCAGAGGACTCTAACAAAAAGAACAAGAAAGCTTCAAGAAAGCATGGAATCCGAAACCCAGTTACTAGCAGATGCATAAGATGCGATGCAGCAGTAGCAAATGGAGACGACAGGAGCAGTTGCCGAAGACGGTTCTGATTGATGTTTGAGGAAAAATAGGTAGATCTGTATTTTATACACAAAATCGTTTCAATTTTTGGTCACATAATCGTTTCGGTTCAGCTAATCTCAATCAACTGTCAATTATCAGGATTCTGTGCGGATTAAGTTTAATTATCTTGATTTTTTTGTGTGATTATCCTCTGATTATAGTTTAAAACGTATCCGAAAAGCAGGATACTCGTATCCCAACAGTAAGGTACGCGTATCCCATCAGTCAACAACGTATCTGTTGACTCGGATACGTATCAGTCGCGTATCCGCACGTATCGTCCTGCGTATCCGTATCCCTGCGTGTCAGATACGGGATACGTTGGTCTTCTCCCGTGTCCATGCATCATAGCCTACCACCTTGCCCAGGTCGATTCTAAACCTTCCAACAAAGGTGCGTCTTCCTCCTCAGTGGTCAGCGAGGTTAGTCGGTTTTGGGATCGGCTATGGTCTGCAATGGTTCCTCCCAAAGTCAAATCTGGTGTTTCCTCAATAACTTTATTCCCACCCGGGCTAATATGGGCCATAGGCATATCACTACCGATTCTCTGTGTGTTCAATGCTCCCATCCTTACGAAACAACGCTGCATCTTTTGAAGGACTGCCCATTTGCCAAATGTGCGTGGTTATTGTCTCCATTGGGCATTCCCATTTGTGATCGCAATCCTCCCTCTCCACTGTGTTGGGCTATGAATGCCATTGATAACCTCCCATCCTGGGGACTTAAGATGTTTCTTATGATCTATTGGTCTATCTGGGGTGCTCGGAACACAAAATTATGGTCTGGCTCTTGTGATTCTCCTGATGTAAGCACTGCTCGGAGTATCCACTGGTGGCAGGAATTCATTTCCCTCCCCAAAGCCATCCCTCGTCTGTGCATCCTCCACCTCCCCATAAATGGCTGGCACCTCCATCCAGCAAACTGAAACTGAATGTCGACGATGCGTGGGATGTGGATAGGAAATTGGGCGGTTATGGCAGTGTTGTTCGTGATGATCGCGGCTGTTTTGTAGCGGCTAAATGTGGTCATTTTCCGAATGTATGCTCTCCTTTTCTTGCAACAGCTATGGCTTTCCGCGCTCTTTTGGTTTGGTCGTCAGCCAGGGGTTTTCATGATTTATTCATTGAGTCAGATTCCCCTCTAGATTGTGGAGGCTTTGAAGGATCTTTCCTTCAATCTGTCCTTAATCGGTCAGGTTGTTGAAGATATCAAGACCTTTCTCCCCTCAATCACTGGAGCTTTACCCACCCACGCTCGATGCCAATCCAATGGAGTTGCACGTCGGCTGGCTCGTGTAGGCATCTCATCCAGTCATACTAGTGAATGGCTGATCACCCCCTACTGTAATCCTTGATTTACTTGTTGAGGATTACTTGGCTCTTGTAACCCTTTATAAGCTTACAATCTGTTATCATTTCACTCAAAGGAAAAAAAAAAAAAAAAAAAAAAAAACTACTAGCACTTTCTCGATGTTAAAGCTTATCGACTCAATGCAGCGATTAGGAGTGGCCTATCATTTCGAAAAAGAGATTGAAGTAGTTCTGACTAGTATTCTTTCATCTGGTACTGCCAGTATCGCAACTTTCATTTACATCTTTGTGCTGAAGTTGCTCTAAAGCTGTCATTTTGTGAAAATGTGTTGGTACTTATCTTGTGATTTCTGATAGGATCTAAGGAAATTTAAGATATTATTTTACTATTGTTTATCAAATTTGGGTTGGTGCAAAAAAACAAACGAGAAAAAAGAATCCTTAGAAAACGAAATTGTTCATTTGTCGGTCACAAATTGGAGGAAGTCTAAGGTCGGGAGACCGAACCAGTTAGCTGCGACGGTGATTTGTCAGACTCATCATTTCTCAAATTTTGGTCTCAATCTCATTTAAGGCTTTTTGGCTAAAATGGTTTTTGAGATTTGCATAACTCCTCACATTGGTCCTTGAGATTTGAAATTGTTAGAATTGGTCCCTGAGTTTGTTAACAATCAATCATTATGGTCATTCCACGAAAAATCTCCATAAAAAATAAGGATAGAATGACAAAAATACCCTCAATTTTGATCAAATCATTTTAGCCTATTGTTTATTAAATTGATCTTTATTTAGCTGTGATCACATGTTGTGCCCTAAATCAAGGGATCATGGTAGTGCTCATACAACTTCCTAGCCACGAATCCCTCATCCTCTTTTCTTTGAGCACTTGATTCTGGCCAAACTTTCTCTAATTCAGCAACAAAAGCATGCGTTCGTGGATCACTCAACCCCAATTCCCACAACTATGGATGCATATAGACACAATTTGCTTATCCAATTAGTATGTACATGTATGCATTGTAAGAATATGAACATGATATTAGGTGATTTGGCATTAGCTATCTAAGACCAATTGGTATAAGAAAGCTTTATGGGAAGATGTATACTAGTTATTGTCAATAAAGGATTCTGTTGCAGTAATGAACTGATGTGGATTGGGAAAATACAAGTTGTTTTCCATGAGTATTCTAATAGGGAGTCCTCATTCTATCATGAGAAGGGATATGTGTATATGTGTGTGTGTGTGTGTGTAGCAACCTCTCCTCTCACAGGATCACGCTCTCTTTGAACTATGCCATATTGTTAGTTTGAGCTTAAGGTATTCTGACATAGAGAATAAGAGTTGTTATGCACTAGAATTGGTTCTAGCATCCATGGCTGCATCAAGTGCAAATTCTTCAGGTTAGTATTCTACAATAGTTAAATGGATTGAGTTCTTGTATTTTGTATAATTGTAATTCTAGTAACTGAGTCTTGTTTGTAGTATATATGGTTAACATGTGGTATCAGAGCCATAGATTCATTCTTAAATTCAATCAACAAAATCGATAGAATCCTAATAATAAGAAAATAAAAATAAAAATCATCTTTACTGCCATTAGGTTTCAAAACTAGTTCTAGACTTAAAACTAGGTCTAGGAAAAACGGTGCGTTTTAATAAAATATGATTGTTTAAATTTTTTTTTGACCGTTATAACTCAAAACCCATCTACTTTGGGGGTTTTTCTTGGATTAGGAATACAATTTACCTTTTCGATTTTGAATTTTTTGTTGATCTGGATTGTTCAAGTTGCTATTGAGTTTTCAATATTTATTATAAATGCTTTTGCTGTTGGGTATTGATACTCATTGAACAAAAGGGTATGTCTTCTGAACATTAGATTGAAATTTGGATTTTTGATCCATCTTGTGTCGAATATATTCTTTTCTTCAGCATGATTTGAATAATGAGCATCACGATTATGCTTATTTCTATTTTTAAACCCATGATTATGCGTTTTCTTTAACTGTCCGTGGAAGAAAGTTTAGCTTGGACCTTCTACAGACATCACTCTTTTTATGCAGAAAATTTTGATGAACTAAGAATTGTTTGTTTAAGACAAATCATTTATAATGTTGAGATGGTTGTCTATGATTACATAACAATTCATTCTTAATGTTCTAAAAAACCTTTTATTCTATATGTGCTTATCAACCTTTTGTTGTTAAGATTACATATATGGATAATAGTTTTGATGGTATGATGTGCAATAGACTGAGAAAAGAAAGCCGGAACCTAAAAGTTCTTTTTGTGATTTCATTGTATTCTCCAGTGTCTGGAATATCAATTAAGACCCTCAATTTAGCTGTGTTAACTACCTGAATGCAATAGAAAAGAAATTTAAAGAATCTGAGAAAGCTGAAGTGAGTCAATACATGTCTCTATTGACTACATAGAAGATTGAGGGTACTGGTTCTATAAGGGACCACATTATGAAGATGACCGATGCTATGGAAAAACTCAATTCAATGGATGTAAACATTGGTGAAAAGCAGCTAGTATTCATGATCCTCCAAGCACTTCCCAACAAATATAGCCAGTTAAAGGTCTCCTACAACACTCAAGACAAAAACTGGGACATTGATGAGTTAATTGCACAATTTGTACAAGAATAAACTCGTCAAAAGTAAGAGAAGGCAAAGAGATTGAGGATGTCAATTTTGTGCAAATTGGAAATGAGAGAAAGCTATTCAACATTGGAGGCTCTTATGGTTCTGGTAAGAATTCTAAATCATTTTAGAATTCTAATAGGTTCATTACTTCTGCTAAAGTGACTGACTTTCCAAAAAAATCTAACAAGTTTAAAAAACCAAAAGATGTGTCTAAACTTACATGTTTTTGGTGCAAAACTAAGGGCCATTTAAAAGTAAATTGTGAAATCTTTAAGGATTGGATAAAAAGCAAAGAAAAGGAATAGGTACACGTTTGTATTGAGTCAAATTTGTGTGAGGTACCTGTTGATTCTGTTTATGTGAGGGAAGGGACTAAAGTTGAAGTACATTCAATAGGGGTTGTGAACTTAAGATTAACTTCTGGTTTTGTTTTACAATTAAAAGATGTGCTCTATGTGCCAAAGATGAGAAGAAACTTAATTTATGCTTACAAAATTGTAAAAGATGGCTTTTCCTTTCTTGCTGATGATGAATGTTTATAAATCTTTAAAAATAATTGTCTTGATTCGATTTTGGGAACTGTTCTTCTATCTGATAACTTGTGGAGTCTAGAATGTTTAATGGAGTCAAATAATCAATCAATACTGAATGTTGGTTCCAAAAGGATGCTAGAAAATGACATTTCTTACATTCTCTGGCACAAAAGGCTAGGGCAAATCTCTAAAGAAAGAGTAATTAAAATTTCAAAGCCTGAATTAATTCCAAGATCATATTTCACTAATGCAAATGAGTGTGTTGATTGTTTAAAGGGAAAAATGACAAATTTTACAAAAATGGATGCTAAGAGAAGTCAAGGGTTACTAGAAATCATACATACAAATATTTGTGGTTCCTTTCCAGTTAAAACAATTTGTGGGAATAAGTATTTTGTCAATTTCATTGATGACTTTTCTAGGCTTGGATATAAATTTCTCATTAGTGAGAAGTCAGATGCACTTAATTGATGACTTTTCTAGGCTCGGTTATTAAAATTGTTAGATCATATAGGGGAGGAGAATACTTTGGCAGGTACACTGAATCTAGGCAGCAAAAGGGTCCATTTGCTCTCTATCTTGAGAAAAATGGCATTGTGGCACATTATACCACACGTGGAACACCTCAATAGAATGGTGTATCAGAAAGAAGAAATATGACTCTCATTGGCATGGTTAGGAGTATGATGACAAGATCGAGACTACCAGGTTTCTTACGGGGAGAAGCTCTAAAAACAACAAATTATATATTGAACCGAGTTCTCAATAAGGCAGTTTCAACAATGCATTTTGAGTTGTGGCATGGGAGAGTTCCTAGTTTTGCCTATTTTCATGTTTGGGGATGTAAGGCAAAGGCTAGATTTTACAATCCTAATGAAAAAAAGTTAGATCCTAGGACACAATCATGTTACTTTGTTGGCTACTCTGAGAAGTCAAAAGGTTTCAAGTTCTATATTCCTAAAAACCATACTCAGATCCAAGAAACACATAATGCAACCTTTCTAGAAGATCAAGATGTTTCAGATTTTTCATGGGAAAATTTTTTGTTTGAACAGATGCATCAAATTCATGACAACCCTATAACAATAGATTGCACTAAGGTTCCATTATTTCCTCAACAATTGTCACCTGTAATTGAAGATTTAAGTGAAGAATTAAGAGCTCATATTGTTAACACTATGGAGGTTGACCAATTAGCATAGCCTGCAACATCAATTGCCTTTTCAGAACCACAAGTACCAGTTGATGTTCCACCTTCAATTGAACAAAGAAAATCAACAAGAGCTCCAAAATCCACTGCAATCGGTGACTATGTGTACTTACAAGAAAATGAGTTTGATATAGGTGACATTGATGACCCTCTTACATACTGATAGGAGCATATTTATGCGACTTAGTTAACATGTTTTCTTACACTTACTTAGTTAGTTATTGCTTATAAGAGTGTTTTAAACCATTTTCGTATGTTTGTAGGTCCTAATAACAAAGATGGCAAGAAAAGTGCATTTTGGTGCATTTTAGAGCAATTTTGGGATGAAATGGATTGCATGCACTTGGAGACATGAGGATGGACGTTTTGGGAAGATTAGAATTCAGCATATGAGTGTAAGTGTGTGACCTACAACTAACAAACATCATAGCTGCCATGTGATGGAGACAACATCATGCAAGGTACATGCAAAGACACCCATATGCAAAGACAACACACACACAGCATGGAGAGAAAGTATAGTGGTTTGTGGCTGAAATGTTGAAGCAAGTGTGTGGAAATGCAAAGGGGATCTAAACATGGACATCACATGTCATGTGCAAAGGAGAAACAAAGATGACAACACACACATGCAAAGAAGAAAACAGCAAGAAAGGCACGGCACATGGAAGAAAGCATGGCAGCACACACATGGGAAAGAAAGGCACGGCATGGGCAGGAAATGAGTTGAATTGTGGCTGAAATAAT